TTGCAACTTTATTGCGAACGCATTTAGCTCCTGTGCAGTTTGACCCGGGCGCGGAAGGCGTTTCAATTCTTCTAACGCGCGATCGATAATTACTTCCGGGCGGCCGAAACACTGCTCTAATGTTCGCATAATATCTGCTGGATCCTTTGCGGTAAACAGCAGTGCCGATACTACTTCCCTAGCTTCACCGCGTAAGCAGTTTCTTAACCTTGCCATATTTTCCGTATCTGTGAATCCATATAGACGCGTGGATTCTTTCATCGCGGCTTTGAACGCTAGCCATTCCGCGGCCGAACCGTTAAAAATAGGCAAGTCCTGCGTCTGCTTCGCGGCAGCGGGCCTAACTCTGACCATATTCTCCAGAGCTTCCGCTAGTCGCTCTATACCCCTATCCTTTTCTCGCGGAGTAAGCGACCTATCTCTATCCCTATCTCTCTCTAGCCTACGCTGTGGCGCTGGCGTTCTATGCGCACCTACATCCCTATGCGGCGACGGTGATCTACGATCCGCGTGGCGATGTGGCGATCTATGTGTAGGCGATAGAGTGCGGCGTTGGACGCGCGACGGCGACGTAACCCGTACACGACGATCCACCTGGTTCATTCCTGCGGCGACTCCATCTTCCCTTTGTACCGAATCTATGCGGCGCGGTCGAACGTTATTCGCTTCCGTCCTCCCCTGGGCATCTTCACTGTGGTCGTAACCGGTTACCCTGTTCGGTAGGGTCTGCTCTAACTCGATGCGGGGCGCGGGCTGAGAGGGGCGGGAAGGCGACTCCCCCCGCACAGTCTCTACGTTCTCTAACCACCTATCAACGCGTACCCTATTTTCAACTAACTCGTCTTCGTTGACACTTTCCCTATCTGTTTCTTCTTGCAGTTGCGCGACGTCCCTAGCGTACTTCTTCCTAATAAGATCTTCTTCCAACTGCAATTGCTTCCTCCTAATTGCAGCTAGTTCCTCCGCGGCGTTATATTCAATTTGCTTTAATTTAGCTATCGCACTAGCCGTCGACCGGGCTGAACGAACGGAGCGAACCGACGGGGCGCGGGGCGCGGGCCTATGTACGTCTGTTACAGGCGCGACGGTACGTACTATCGAACTAATCTCTGTAGACGGAAGATCTTCTATAATCGCGGCGAGTGTCTCTGTACGCGGCGCGGAAATGCTAACCTCTCCCAAACGATCGGTCGTGGACACGGACATAGCGGGGCGCGGCGGCGGGGGCGCGGGCGCGGGCGTAGATGCGGGCGCGGCGGAGGGCGCTTGTGCCATCGCGAGATAATCGGACGGGGACGCGGGTGCTTCTTCGAATATGCGCATTCCTACCGGCGTGTCATCATCGTTCCGTGTCTTCTGGCTTCGTGTCTTCCTCATGGTCCCACGTTGCGACCTCCGGTCGTCTTCAAAAAGACGTACGTACAGTCTTTAAAAAGACACACGTATGGATGTCGTTCCCGCCACAAGGGCGTTACCAGATGGTCACAGTTTGGCACCGTTAGGGAGTGACCACTGGCCGCGTAAACGCGGTTAAGAAACAAGAAATTGTCTGGAAACAGACAATAGACGCGTATGACGTAGGCGTAACAAGAAACAGGGAAGAAATTAGTACCGACGATCTTCTCTCTTCGTCGACGAACTTCTTTCTTCCTTGAAGATCTTCTATAATAATCTTCTCTCTTCTGTAATTATGTTCCTTCTTCTATAATTACCTTCTTTCTTGTATAACTGCCTTCTTTCTTGTTTCTTCTTACTTCTTTCTTCTTTCTTCTTTGTTCTGGCTGCTATCCGGCGACGATGGACCAAGATAAAGTGGATGGAGAGTAGTGGACTGTATTTGGTGTTTTAAACTGTCGGTGTGAGGTTACCTAAACTAGGGACTGCTCGAAGAAAAGATGGTACTTTTAATTATACTATATTCACTATTTACAAAGGGTTCGGTACATTAACTAATCACTATACAAAAGGGAGGTCTTCAATATGGAGTCTTCTGTCTTGATTCTTCCTTGTCTTCTGATGATCCGAAGGAACCCGAATGAACGAATGAACGAATGAATGAATGAACAACGACCGTCCGAGGCGCCCTTCTTATATTTCCGAGAAGAGCGCTTCATTTCGTCGGGTTGGCCGCCCGATGGCAATATTCCCCGCACGCGCGCTGATTGGTTGCCCGATATCGCGTGATCAGCGCCGGCGTGCGGGGTGCGCGGGACGTAACGGGGAACGAAGGGGCGACGGGGCGGCGGGTCTCTCGCTGTCCGTAACAGTACCATTCCCACGAACAGAATAATTATATAATACTCGCTGTACCCCGCGTCTTCGCCCGCGTGTAATTTAGGTTTTCAATTTTATGCGCAGTACCCTAATTATTTTTCTTAAATAAAAGTAGCTTAAGTTACGCCTTATAATATTAGCTATCTGCCAGTGAAAGTCCCATCCAAATCAGTCCAGCAGTTTCGGAGATTAACCGGAACAAACATACAGACGAAAAATTTAAAAATTGTGGTTTTGTTATAAGTATGGAGTGTAGAGAGAAAGAGGACCATCTCTATATATGAAGTGTCCCTAAAAACGTGTCCAATAAGGGTGGCGCTGCAGTAGCATAGGATAAATTTAAAAAAAGCGCCAAAATTAATTAGAATAAGATGGAGAAATAAACAAGGACCGACCAATCTGCTTGGTTTTGTACTACGTAAATAGTTGAGGTATTGTATACTGGCATTTTAATAACTACTCTAGTCATGAAATTTTTCAAATATTTGAATTCAGCTGACTTCACTCCGTCTACAACGCAGACGCCAGCGCTATTGTGGTAGGTTTTGGAACCTCTATTTTCAGTATATAGTGGGACACTTTTTCCACTTTCGCCCCTTATGGTTGTCCTTGTACTCTACACTCCATAGTTATAAGTACTGCACTTACTTTCATATGCATTTAGTGAAAAGCTGTTATTTTGATATTACAAACAGACACTCAATTTTATATACTTGTTTAGATATAAAGATTAAGTATACACTTAATAAAACGAACTAAAAGTTAGCTAATTTGGTGTAGATTAGACTAAAGAAAACTTGTGATACCTTAAGTGATCAAAATAACTTGAAGTTTATATCAACGTCGAAGCACTTGTTTCGTCGTTTCCACTAATAATTCACATGTTCACAAAATACACAAAATCGAATCATTTAAGCATACATATATCGAATCATTACATATCCACTTCAAACTATTATTTAAACGACATAACAGGAGCAACACTCCGTTGACGTTCAGGTTCCCGCCAAAAATACCATTATTATACTTCTTTGTCACAATTGTCAACAGTTCAACGCTGTACCACAGAATACATAATAGTTTAAGCTAGAGCTGTGCTTGAGCCTCTATCATTATAGAGAGATTTGGCAGATTGATTGGATTTATGAGTGTTTACTATAATGTTAAAAAAAATTGTAAAAATAGCCTAACAATCCCGATCAAGTCTCCTTTCAAACAATATAAACTTAATCTAAGTCGGTTTAACCGTTAGGAAGCTATGCATATATGTGATGCCAGAGACAGATACAGATATACACATTAAACATATAACACTTCTTTTTCGTCGTGGGTTAAAAACGTGTAAGACATTCATAATCATCAATCTGTTTTTTATAGCAATAAGTGTGTGACAAGTCCATGTGATGATAAACGGCTACTGTACTTTTTTTTACTATTCTATTATTCCACTGCAGATACGTTGTCACCTTTGAAAACTAAGATGGAATGCCCCACAACCTGCAATTGCACTGGCTCTTTATCGTCATCATCAAAATCGTTACAGCTTTTTGGAAGTCCACCGCTGAACATAGGTCTCCCCCAAGGAATGCCACAAAACACGGTCATGAGCTACTGGCATCCATAGACTTCCTGCATTTCTTACCAGGTCGTCACTCCATCTAGTGGCTGGCTCTTTATATCCTGTACAAATAGGTAAATGGGTGGAACTTATTTAGAATTTTGCCACCTAGATATCTGAGTATGTGTGTTGGTGACGTGGCACTGTTGGAGATGTAGGTGATTATATCCTTGATTAATAACCAATTTGTATATTGCGTTGTCATCTCTAAAAACGGATGGAATGCCTCCCAGAACCTAATTATACTGGCTCTCCATAGGCATTTTCAATAATGGGCTCAACACGCTTCAACTGTATGTGCTGGGTCTATTAATGAAAAATTTCCACGGTGTGTGATTTACCGTGTAGCGGTGTAAGAATTTCCACTACCCCAAATCATCCCACGGGTATCGTATGAGATTACAGAGGGAAATAAATCTGGATGTCGACAGTAGCGTTTTCTTAATAAGGACTAAAAATAAAATAAAAAACTGCGGTTGCCAACCCGCTTGCCAAGCGTGGCAACTACGGTATATATCTTCCCTATGAGGCATTCTATTGGGGGAGGCCTATGTTCTTTTTTTTTTATTTTTTTTTATAGAATAGGGGTGACAAACGAGCACACAGTCCACCTGATGGTAAGTGGTTGCTGTGGCCCATAGACATCTACATCTAGCCTCATTTGCGAATCAAAATGCAGATACGTTGTCACCCGTGAGGACTAAGATGGAATGCCTCTTTTCCAGTAAAAATGGGTCTCCGGTTCTCTACACTCACCATACGAAACATAGTAGCATTAAGCTGCTATTTGACGCTGGTATTCTGTGAGAGCGTGGTCCTTTCCCGGTCGAGCCGACCCATTCGTGCTACAACTATACTATTAATATAGTTGCAGCATGGCTCTACCACGTAAAACATTCAGCAGTGGACTTTAGTAGGCTGTAACGGTATAGCGGCTATATATGATGACACTGTGTCACGAATTCGTTCACCTCACGCAACTAGCGACATCTGTTGATTCTGGTGAGCGTAAAATGGTTAGCCGTGGCACTGTTGGCACCGGTGGCACTGTTGGCACTGGCGGGTGTGTGCAGAGTCGCCGCTGGCGGGCGGCGTGCAGTGGCAGCAGCCGACGGGCTCGATCCTGTGGATGGCGCCCGAGGTGATCCGCATGGACGAGCCGGCGCCCTACACCTTCCGCTCCGACGTGTACGCGTACGGCGTCGTGCTCTACGAGCTCATGGCCGGCGAGCTGCCCTACGCCCACCTCAACAACAAGGACCAGGTACACACCAGGTTTCTCTTATCGCCGCTAGTTTATCAACGTTGCTTCGTTCTACTCGTGAATCGAAGTTGTCAAACGAAGTGCACCGAGTAAAAACTGAAATCGTTAAACATGACAGCTCGACATTTTTCGATTCTGGTACCGTCAGCCATCCAAACATCATCGATCGAAGTATGAGACAATTTATGGATTCCAATCAAATACATAATACCGATCAAAGCCTTCAATTCAATCAAGTTGGTGTGCTCAGCAGCACTATATAAAAGTTACTGGACGAAATATTTATCAATGGTTCTTCATCCCCATCACTGAACGCAAATTCGAGAGCTTCCATAGATTCGCTCACAAATACCAAGCCCAGGTGCTCTTCGTTTGCCATTTCCAAAGATTCATCATCAATCGAAAATACCTAATGCAGATCATTGTCACATTCTTGTTCCGAGTCAGTATCATGCTCACTCACTTGATCAGGAAACACTCCGGTTTCATGTTCCTTACCATCACCACCGAGGATATCATCGACATCTTCTTCTAGCCATCTGAATATGCGTCTGCTGCTGTTCGTCCAAGTTTTTTTTTAATATAAAAAGATGATAAAAGTAATCTAACACAAGGAAAAAAAAAACATAAAAAAAAATAAAAATATGAAATAAATGAAACAATAAAATTAAAGTTCATTAATTATCAACGAAATTATAATATAAAAAACAAAAAATATTACGTTAGGTTATAGGTATATAAGTTATATAGGTTAATTGTTGCGCGCGAGCTAAAGTTAGCTGCGATGCGCGCCAAATATAATTAAATTCAAAGAAGGTACCTATACTCAACCAAATCTAAGAAATACCTTTTGACAGCTGTCAGACATATTGGACTAGGCGAGTTGATAATCATTTACAGTGTTGTTTCGATTAATACCAGAATAAATTAGAAAGGGATAATTTAAAACACAAAATTTGTCAGTTTCTTTGGATTTATTACATACATATACATACATAAACACTCACGCCTGTCACCCAGAGGGGTAGGCAGAGACTACGGACTTCCATTTGGCGCGATCCTGACACACCTCTCTCGCCTCTTTTACATCCATATATCTACGCATACACGCTCGTCGGTTATGGGTACTCCTAATCTAGCCCATTTTTAATGTATCGCCGATTTGGTCGATAAACCTTCGTCTAGGGCGTCCCTTCCCGACCCTGCCGTTCACTTCCGCAACATAAATTTGCTTTGTCACTCTTTCCTCATTCATTCTTTCTACATGACCAAACCACCGAAGCATTCCTTTCTTAATCCTTGTCACAACGTCATCTTGCAAACCACACTTTTCTCTTATCACACTATTTCTCACCCTGTCATTCAGATTCAGCCCTAGCATACTTCTTAAGGAACGCATTTCTACAGCATTTATTCTACTCTCATGCTTCTTCTGCCAGACCCAACTTTCACTACCATACATTAAAGTAGGGACTAACACAGCATTATGAATTGCCATACGTGCCTTAGTTGACACATTCTGACTCCTCATAATAGCGTGTAGAGCCCCATTCACTCTATTTCCTGCGTTCACTCGTCGTTCTATATCCTTATCATATCTACCATCCCTGCTAAATAAACATCCCAAATATACAAACTCATCCACTTGCTCAATCAACTCCCCTTCTATCCTTATTTCACATAAAGTTTTACTTTCTTCTCTTTCAAAAACCATCACTTTAGTCTTACTTGCGTTCACTTTCATACCCCTTTCTTTCAATGACCAATTCATTAAAGTAACCATCATTTGCAACTCGGCCGCCGACGATGAAAATATGACTTGATCATCGGCGTACAAAAGGCATTTGACGGTTGACTCACCCATTCTCAACCCACATTCTTCAACTTTCAAAGTTTGCAAACAACTGTCCATAAATAAGTTAAACAGCCACGGGGAAGCCACACATCCCTGTCTGACACCTTTATGAATGCCAAACCAGTCCGAGTAGACCCCGTTGATCCTGACACAAGCAATAGAGTCCCTATAAAGAGACCTTAATGCCTGTATTAAGCCAGCGCTCAACCCAAATGAGTTCAGTGTTTGCCATAACACATTCCTGTCCACTCTGTCATAAGCCTTTTCCAAGTCCATGAACGCACAAAAAACTTTCTGGTTTTTAGCCAAAAACTTCTCCGCTATCATGCGCATGGAAAAGACTTGATCCGTACACCCCATCCCCTTTCTAAATCCAGCTTGCACATCCCAAATTTTTCCATCAGTTTCTGCCATAACTCTTTCAATTAACACCTTAGCATACAGTTTACCCACAATGCTAAGCAAGCTGATACCACGGTAGTTTTTACAGTCCTGCTGCGACCCCTTTCCCTTATATATTGGGACTATAACGGCTTTGCACCAGTCTTCCGGTACCCGTTTCAGTTCCCAACATAAATTAAACAAGGTGTGCAGCAGGCCTGTAACCACACCCTCACCAGCCCTTAGCATTTCGAGTGATACTCTATCATATCCGGCTGCCTTACCTGCTTTCATGCTTTTCATTGCTTTCATTATTTCATCTACACTTATCTCCCTACCTCTCTCCACTTCTTCCGGAATTTCTATTTCACTTATTCCAGACGACTCTTCACTCTTAAACACGCTTTCAAAGTATTCCTTCCATCTCTTTAAATTCGAAACTTCATCATTCAGCATGCAGCCATTCTCGTCTCGTATAGCATTTATTCTAGGCTGTTTTGAATTTCCCCTGGCAGTTCTTACGAGCTTCCAGAACATTTTAATATTTGCCTGGAAGTTATCAGATATCCTTCTATCATTCTTATCTATCCTTTCTTGCTTTTTCCTTTCAACAACTTCTTTTACTCTCTTATTTATACGTCTAAAGTCTGCCTTTTTTCTTTCAATCTCATCATTCATACCGCCAGAATTACCAGCTTTAGTTGCTAGTAAATCCAGCCATGCTCTCTTCTTTGCTTCAACTTCCATCCGTACCTCATCATCCCACCACAACGTATTACTTTTCCTTTCATTCGTTCTTTTACTTACACCGCATACTTCGGTGGCTGCATCCACCAAAACTTTCTTAATATTATTCCATACATTCTTCAATTCTAAATCATTCATACATAATTCATTCAACCCACTTATATTTTCCCTCAATCTGCATTTATACTTCTCTTTCACACCTTCATCTTGTAACCTCTCTATTCTTATACGCTGTAACGCAGTGGTAGACACCGATGTCCGATGCCGCCAACGTCTGAATAGACCATTAATTCGGCATAAGACCAAGTAATGATCCGTCCCTACGTTGGACCCCCGGTAAACCCTTGTATCTACCACTGCGCTCCTCATTCTTTCATCCACAATTATAAAATCTATCATGCTTCTATCATCCCCTCTTTCCCATGTATACATGTGAATCCTCTTATGGCGAAAGAAAGTGTTCGCCACAAAAAGATTCTTTTCCACACATACGGTAAGGAGGTCTTCACCATTCTCATTTATTCTTTCATCGCCAAACGTTCCTAATATCCTTTCATAACCAGACCTCTTCACCCCAACCCTTCCATTAAAATCTCCTAACATAATAATATTTTCATTTTCCTTACATTTCATCAACACCAGCCTTACCATGTCCCAAAACTGCTCTCGGATATAAGTGGGCTTAGACATATCTGGGGCGTACACCCCTAGCACAAACAATTTCTTTAAGCCCACTTTCATTCGTATCCACAGCAGCCTTGGGCTAACACATTCATACTCTTTCACACATTCACCCATTCTTTCTGAAAGGATGACACCGACTCCCTGGCATGCCCGCTCGGTCTCGTCTACTCCAGACCAGTAAGCGGTATACATGCCATGTGCAGTGACATCTCTTCCCTTTCGTTTCGTCTCGTTTACACATAACACATCTATTCCTCTATCATTCATCATTTCGCATACTTCATCCATCTTATCATTCATTGCTCCACATACATTCAGCGTGGCCAGACGGGCCTCCGCAATCCACTTTTCGCCCCCCCGGGAGACAGGACGTGACGGGTGGCGAACCTCGTCGCCGGTTTTTCTCCCTGAGATTCTTCGCACCCCTGCCCCATTAAAGGGGCGCCGGGAACTCGGGGCCATTTCTTTTCCTTCTTGGCTCATGGTGCGAACTAAGGGGTGGTAGATTTTATGCCGCTACCATACGGCGAGGAGCCGAGGCTGTCGTTTCGGCTTTGTCGCTCGTTTAGCACCACCCGGGGGACACGTGTAGGGTGGGCCTAGGATTAGGTGGTCGAAGCCTACGGACGCGAGCGACTCATCCCTCATTGGATTTATTGTTACTGCTTATTTCTAGAGGCAAAGCTATGTAACTTTAAAATTGAAACTAGATTAAAAATAAATTTATTTAATCACTTTCCCTACAACTAGTTGAGCTGTCGTTTAGATTAATTATTATTTGATTTTTTTTATTTTTTTTATAGGATAAGGGTGACAAACGACATCTACATCTATCCTCTATTACAAATCAAAATGTAGATGCGTTGTCACCCGTGAGGACTAAGATTCGCCTCATTTCCAGTAAAAAGGGCCTCCGGCCACCTGCACTCACCAAGCGAAACGCAGAGGTAAACCTCGACTTCACGCTGGTTTTCTGTGAGAGCTGCCGCATGGCTCTACCACTAAATATCTCTACCTAAAAAGCTCTACCTGACTGGCAAGAAAGCGTTATCTTTTACGCGCATATCTTGTATGTTTGTAAATTTCTTTATTACCTCGTATCTTTCAAACGGTTGCGTGGATTTCGACAGTTAAGATATCGTTATATTCGTCTTAAAAACCCAAGTGTTTTTAGATAGCTGTTTGAAGAAAATAAACAAAACGCGGAAAACAGCCCTTCGTAAACTAAACTAAACTAGGCTACTGGGCTGGCTATGGGGGAAGACCTACTATTTTGTGATTGATGAATGGTTTCAGATCTTATGGATGGTGGGCCGCGGTCTGCTTCGACCTGATGCGCGGAGACTGCGACAGGACGCTCCACAAGCGCTGAAGCGTCTCTTCGAGGACTGCATCAAGTTTGACCGGGAGCAGCGGCCTCTGTTCCGACAGATCCTGGCCTCACTGGAGTCCATGCTGAGGGCCATGCCCAAGATCACGCGCAGCGCCTCCGAGCCCAGTGTGAACCGGCAGCTGCACGCATCTGATGACTACCTGAGCTACAGCTGCGCCTCGCCTAAGACCCCCGTCAATTTCCAGTTCAACGCGGACACCAGTTTCCCGGCTTTTTATGGGTAGGTACTTGTAGTAGGTGTTGGTAGTCAATTTTTGAAAAGTACAGGACTTTTTTTGAATTTGAATAATATACGCGATAAAATCCGTAAAATTAGTTTTATTTAAATGTGTAGTGTTCGCGTAAATATAAGAAATCATTAAGTACACGACTATTCAATAAAAGGTAGGATTTCCAATAAATGGTTATTCATCATTCATTACAGGTTCAGCAGTGGATTTTTGCACTGCTAAACATAGGTCTCCTCCATAGAAAACATAGATCTCCTCACAGGGGAGGGGGTGGGGGGATTGGCCATGTTTGGCAGGTGATAGCCGCTGCGGTTTTTTTTTATTAAAATAGCAGAAAGATGTTGATGCCCATTCCCGTTTCAGTTTATTTCAGTCGCCTCTTACGACACCCACGGATTGATATTCTGACGCCACCATTATACAAGGTCGCCAATAAATGGTAATAACATGTAATGTTTTGAGATAAGCGAACAAAATATCGGAACCTGGATCACGAGGTGACCCCAATGTGGGATGATCTGCCGACCAAAATTGTACCTGTAGTCGTTTCTGCGAACGGGCTAATCCTGGTCAGCCTCTCGGGTCATCTGAGGCGACTGGGACTCCGTGACGAACTGCTCCAAGCTCAAATGCAGAAGGCGGTGCTCCTCGACACCGCCCGCATCGTCCGCCAGTTTCTTTCCCTTTCTCCCCAACCCTCAGCCGTTTGGTCTCCCCTGCCGAGGGCTTCCATGGGGTTGGATTTTCATTTATTTATGTATTTATATTTCTTTATTTTATTTATATTTATGTATATTTATTATCTTCTTTTATATATTGACCCAGACCAACCAGATGAGAAAAATACGTTTATACCCCAAAATGTAATGTATTGCACATTAATAATATATACACAATACTAATAATTTTTCTTTATTTGAAATATTTCTATACTTCCGTTTACCTGTTAAATATGAGGGATATTTAGAATTTGTAATAATACACAAACACCAAGTTACTTTTAAAACACAGTAATGTTTTACAAAAGCATCAGGCATCAGCACAAATTGTATCTTCCTAAAAGTAATATAAATATTGTAAACTGAAATCCAAATAACCCTAAAAATATTTAACAAAATCCCATTGCTGAAGTTGTTTTATATTACTTACACCAGTATACTTACAAGCATAAGTTGACGAAATGGTTGATGGGACATTTTACACAATAGATGAATTATTCACAAATTGTAAAATTACATTACACTTTGATTAGTCATTAATATAATTTATTTTTAATAATTGACAATTTGTTATTCGTTAATTATTAATTTTTACATTCCTTTGAAATATAATGACATTAATATAAATATTAAAAAAATATTATTAACTTTAACGAGACAGTTCTGTAATATTTGCATGCCTTTGTATAGGTCAGTATTAAATCAGTATTTGCATGCCCAAACTGGCAGAATAAGAAAATTTATTTAATAATGGAAATAAAAACTGATGTACATCTAATAAAGCAAATAAATAAATGAATAATATTTAAATGAAACTAGTTTATGGTATGTTTAGTGTTCCACTGTCACGGACAAGAAATACTTATTTTTAAAAGAAGCTTAAATACCCCGGGACATTACATGTGCAAATTGTATGCTTACAGAATCCCAGTGCCGAACCAACGGCACCCGTAGGGGCTTTTGAAGGGCTACGACTAGCCCGACCCCAGCTCTCCCGGCCCACCCCGGATACTCAGCAGTCCGCTTACAGATTCTGTTGGACATTGGTGACAATTGACTTGAAATTGTTCGCGTGGCTCAATCAAAATGGACATTTCATCTCGCTCACTCTCTTTAAAACATTCATAAGCAGATAGTAAAGCAGTATTTATTCAAATAACTGTTGGAGTTGCTGGAATGTGTTTACAAAAGCTTGTATGGAGTGCTTTGAAAAGTGTTCTTATATACCTAAAGATGACTTCAAGTAAAACACACACACAGCTTCTTGCATCAAGTTTATTCATGAAGTGCTTTGTGTTTGGTGAAAGTGTCAATTGAACAAACATGAAAGTGATAACCTAACATTATGACTAAGTGATAAAGATTATGTTTTTATAATTTGACAGAGTAAAAAACCATTGTGTTATTTTTAAATAACAAAATTCTTAAATCAATCACCGATTCTCAATGTAAATGTTCAGCTGAATGTACTTTATATTGCATTATAACGATTATCCTAACGTGGTAGAGCCATGCTGCAGCTATATTAGTAGTATAGTTGTAGCACGAATGACTCGGCTTGACCGGGGAAGAACCACGCTCTCACAGAATACCAGCGTAAAATAGCAGCTTAACACTACCCTGTTTGAACCTACCCTGTTGGGTTGGTTGTGTGGTCCTACCCTGGTTGAACCGACCCATTCATGCTACAACTATAATATAGCTGCAGCTTGGCTCTACCACGTAAAAGTTTGTTATTATTAATAAGACGCTGCTGCCCATCTCCTGATTGGTTCCCTTCTCGCCTCTTACAACACCGAGCCGATATAGGCTAGAGGATATTCCTACACCGCCACAGCACGGTGTACAAAGTTGTACATGTACATATTTATCAAAATGATGGAGTGCCTCATTAAATACTACATAATTGCAATAGTTTTTGATTCTGTAAGTATATGTATGAATAGATTTTGAATGGAACCCAACATTGCGTTATAATCAATTTGTAGTATCCGTGTTTATAATTTGAAATCATTAATGAATACAAACTAGTATTCTTTATATATACATAAAATTATTTTGTATGGAATAAATGACAATTTTTCTTATATTTATGGCAATCTCATTGTAACAAATTCTGTCGAAATCAAGCCACAGTGACACTAGGACTACTATATATACTATATTTGTTAATTAATTGCAGGCTTTAATATTATTTATTTGGCAATGACAATAGAATGATTAGAATAGAGTTATTTTTATTCTATATAGATTTCAAATTTACCCATAATGAAAGTCGTTTATGCTTTTACCAGTGGTTCAGAAAAAACCTCTGTCATGGGATGAACCAGAAATAAAGCCAGTATGACTTTGGAGATGCGGGGAAAATACTGAATTATAGTGTTACAGGCTTAGAAATGTTGCTTATGTACCTAATAGGTACAGATAATTATAATACTTGTAATGACTAAAATTGCCACAAATTGTATGAAAAGTTTAAAATTAAATTGCCACAAATTCTTTGTTCATAGTAGGTACATACTTCTACTAATTTTGTATTGTATTAAGAAGTAATACTTCTATTTTCAAAAACAAATTCATAATTATATCTAATAAATTATTAAAATATTACTTAATTTATTCCTTTCTATAGTAGCCTTTTATTGTTGAAAATATAATTCATTGCTTTTTTATTCCCGGGAAATACTTTCTTCCCATAGCTAATGTAAATTTATGAAAGGTAAATTTTGAATACCAATTTGAGCTTGCGGATCGGAGAGTAAAGTCGGAGTTGTGGGAATTGTTTGAATAAAAGAATTTACTAACAACGTACATTCGACAAGTAACATTTCGAGTTTTGTTGCGATTCATTTAAATTTAATGCCTTCTGAATGACGAGGATTTTAGCAGAATAGTATTTTTGTATAGTTAACTCTGGCAACACATCTGTTTAAACTACGTGTGAAATGAACAATTTAAAAGAAAAATGTGCAAGACTATTTGACATTTAGCGCCGGTGTTGCCTCAGCAAATGACATAATAACAATGTGTTTTTAAAGTATTATTTATGTAATTATAGAAGCGAGTTGAGCCGCAACTGCATAATTTATTCGTAAAATTGTAAATAACGTATGTAATTACGGTAGCTTAATTATCAGATGAGTAAGGCCCTTGTGTATACAGTATAGTTAGTTTTAACGCATAATTATCGATACTAAGGAACACAATAAATTATTGTTTCGATTTATGTTGCCTTTTATTTCCATCATGCACAACGAAGTGAACTCTAGCATATTGACTGGAACTGTACTACTTGTACTTAGTACTATGAATTTTATAAAATTTAAAAATATCTCAGGTCTTGAGGAATGGGATTCGTAAGATTGGGGGAAAATAAACTTCGGGACCAAACACACCAAACAATTGAGGGTCCTCGAAGTTGTTGGCTTCGCCCATAAAGGAATTGAGATCACAAATGATGCTAAGCTCCGTAGAATTTATAAGTATAGGAATTGACATTTTATGGATTAAAAAAATTGTTACATTCTTAGATATTTAATTTATCAAGTTGGTAGTTTTGGCTTTATCTTTGAACTTGTCAAGGACAAAGCCGAAATATTTAGTTCAATTTAGGTTTTTGTAAAGTTTAATATGAACGTCAAAGTGTACACCGGTTCGCAAAAGCAAGACTCAGAAAAGTACCTGAGTCATTTTTTATAACAGTGTGCAATTTCACTGCACAAGAGATGCGCTTTGTCGGCTCCAGGCACGTGGTTTAGGAATGGGGTAAACGATGGAGCCGTGGTAGCTCAGATAGTTAGCGCTCACTGTAAATTTCGCAGTATGCGAGCAACCCGGGTTCGATCCCCGCCGGCACCAATGAAATTGTTAATTGCAATTTTAAGTGCTGATTTACCACGTGCTCAACGGTGAAGGAAAACATCGTGAGGAAACCTGCATGTCTTAGAAATAAAAAAATATTTCGAAGATATGTGAAGTTCGCCAACGCGCATTGAGGCAGCACGGTGGACACTTCCTTGCGCTAAAACCCTCTCAGAAATGAGAGGAGGCCTGTGCCTGTGTGTGAGTGGGACGTATATAGGCTGTAACTTTTCTTTAAACTATGGACAAAATGTTCGCGGTGGAATTTTGTACTTCAATTTGTTTTGCAGAAGAAAGTTCACGAATGCATCAAATGCGACATTATCCTGACTATAGAATCATGAACAAGATCCACCCTAAGCTGAATTTTGCACAAACATTCCAATATTTTTTAGAACTATTAACAGCCTTACTTATCTGCTAACTGACTTTATGGTAAGTGGTGACGCAGTCGAAGATGACAAAGCTTGACACAATCCTATTCACTCTGGCCATGACTACATCCACACTGTAATAGAATGAAAAGACAGACAGATACTGGGAAATTATTCTACTCCAAGCACATTAGGCTTAAATATGGTTGACATTATATTATTCAGAGTTGAAATGAGAAATATTTATAAAATTTGAAAAGATGTTAAAATAATTACAAACGATCGACTTTTTTTTTTTATAGGAGAGGGGGCAAACGAGCATGTGAAAATAAATTGGTGTGTTCTAGTTTGAGCACCAGATGTCGCTAGTTGACACGTAGGTGAAGTTTTTTGTTACACAATGTCATTTAATTGAGAAGTTAGTTTTAATAAAAGTTTATCAGTTTCTAGAGTATACAATACCTCAGTGGTTTGCTCTTTAATTTTTTGCACATTTTTAAATCTATTATTAATGTTTGTACTTTCATGAATATTTTTTTTCTGTTTGTTTTATTTCTTTTTAATCTAATTAATATAAAATATAGCTAATAATACAGAAATAAAAATTAATCTTTACGTTTTCCGAACAAATTAACTCCTCCGCTATGAAATCTGTCAAATACTGCACCTCATTTTTCAGTAGCGCCGCCCTGGTGGTAGAAAACAGTCATGGATGCCCCCCATTGCGTGCTTTATTACTGGCAAAACTAAGCCTAACAACAGTAATTATTGTGTTCTGTGGCCTAACACCACCACCCCCTAGCAGCAAACACCACACTCAAGGTACTCTGTGACTCTAACCAATATGCTAGGAAACACCATCGTTGACAATACGAAACATATTTCGCCACAAAATTAGGCAATAGTAAGAAAGTCATTATGATACCTAACTGTAAAAACTTTTAGTAGTTATTGAATCTGAGAGTTGAATGGATAGATTTAATATCCACTTAAACATAGGACATACATTGTTATATAATTAAAATATTGCCCATGTTTATGTGGGATTTATAATAAAAAAGAAAATGGTATATTGGGTTCGTGAGTGTAGAGGCGATGCGATTCCTATTAGTTCTTTCACAATTTTCCATTATTTTAATATATGTATTACATTCAGTTCATATTTTTTTGGTTACATGTGGTCCGAGTAGCTTGCTTGTATTTGGACTCTGCCTATTCTCATAGAGATTACAAACGTAAAACAATGTATAAATTATGTAAGACATATTCAAATTTCAAATATTATAAACATGTATTTCATACGCATCTACAACGTTTCCGTGGTGTAGCGGTTATCACATCTGCCTAACACGCAGAAGGTCCCCGGTTCGATCCCGGGCGGAAACACGTTTTCGAACAGCGCATTCTTTTTTCTGGTAAATTATCTTACAAGAAATATATATATTTGTTTTTCCTTTTTTATTATTGTAAGTATTTTTTATTAACATTTAAAAATTATCCGTAGACTAAATTATAACCTGACTGTATATAAAAGTGAAACAATTGAACTATTTTATTATGCAACCGTAATATTTAATTTATATGTGTAGTATTTTATCCTGTGAGTAACTTTTATCTGATGTTTGAAAAATAAATGTTATTAAATACTGATGAAATAAACGAAATAAAATATTCTAATCGAAATTATAACTTTTGAGGGTAATATGAAAGAGTATTGTATGAACTTTTAACTCGTAATAAATATTTTTTTTATATGATAAGGGTGACAAACGAGCACACAGTCCATCTGATAGTAATTGGTTGCTGTGGCCCATAGTCATCTACATCTATCCTCGATTACGAATTAAAATGCAGATGCGTTTTCACCCATGGGGGCTAAGATGGAATGCCTCGTTTCCAGTAAAAAGGGTCTCCGGTTCTCTACACTCACCATAAGAAACACAACGACATTAAGCTACTATTTTCGAGCCGACCCATTCGTGCGACAACTATAATATAACTGCAGCATATAATATATAAAGTAAAACAAAACAATGATAATAATCAACCATTTATTTTAGTCTGCTTATTTTACATTAAATGTCATCTTCTATTGCAGTCGAGTTTAACATTTTATTACATTCCAGGCACTTTTTCCATTTTACTTTCAAGATTTTACAAGAGAACTTAATAAGCATAAAAAACAATCAATAAAAATATTAAAATGGGAGAACATCAAGTAAGCTGCAAATTAATTTCAACAATAACAATACATGTCACTATTTTAAATATAATCACAGCTACATTTTTTATTTTCTATCTTTTTAAAACAATCTAATATTAATTGAACATACGTTTTAAAAATAGATTAAAAAATATAGAATGCACAACAGAATGCAACTTTCATCACAACTCTGCAATTTGGATTTAAAAAAAAACTAAGCATAATTCCATAGTGAATGTAGGTAGTAAACATTAATTGTGAATATGGATTTAACATTAAAAAGGTTACATTTGAAATTAAATTTAAGGAAGACGACCAGTGCAAAGTCGAGGTGGAGTCGAAACGCGCAGGATACGGAAACAAAAACGCTCCAAAACAGACCCGACAGATCTTCGATACCGTCGCAGCTCCACCTCGACTTCTGAAATCCTATGGAAAATACCGATTCATATCAAAATATATGTAAAAAGCAATATTATAATTGTTTCAATGAACACTTCAACTTACAAACTTTATTTGTTTAAAGTTTAACATTACTCTCACTACAAACAAACTATTTAAAAACAAAATTAATCACTAGAGTCATCACTATTCTTTGTGTTGTCATTCTTCATGCTATGTTTTATTTTCTTATCTCTGTTCACTTTTCTCAGCTGAAACTTTGAAACGTGAATCTTTTTCCCGCCAATTTTGGCCTCTTCCGCCATTTTAATTGCGCGCTCCACCGCCTGCGGTCCATCGAATTCTATGAATGCAGTAGCTGAAAAAAATTAATCCATATTAGAACTCGAAAATACTTGCATAAGGTATGTTTTCTACATCGGAATGGTCAAAATCTAAATTCTTGGTACTCGAATCGACACTACCGGTTTTTGAAGGCCCGGTGCTGCCAGTTAGAGTAATGCATCCTTTTAGTACAAGCATCTTAGATTTTAATAAGTGACAATTATAAAAAGGATATTTTATTTATTATATCGAAAAGAAACAGCTAATTATGTAAAATAACATTTCTATTTCAAAAATAAATATATTAATATTAAAGTCCTAGGTTTGTACAAAATAACATTTGCCTTTTGTTTACATTCAGTACCACAAGTTCTTCATAATCAGAATGTAAAGGTTCTGCTGGACGTGGGCCTCTCACACTGTAAGAAGGCTTTGCTATGATTCCCACGATCGTTAGGCGGATTGGTGTTCCAACTACTCAAAGGCTCGCACCTATAACTCTGCTAACCATCCCTAGCTTTGAAAGTAATAATCATAACTTTTAACAAAAAGTAAAAACCGACTTCAAAGTGATAAAAAATAAGTTTTTTATTTGCTACCACTAGGGGTGAATTTTTTCTTCAAATTTTATGGGACCACCCTTGAAGTATAAGTATAACCTATGTAATAAAATAAGAATCATCAAAATTGGTTCAAAATCCGCGAAGATATCGCGTAACATACATGCAAAAAATACTCAAATTGAGAATCTCCTCCTTATTGAAGTCAGTTAAAAAATATCCCTCAATAAGTACAATGTATAATTTATTTCGAATAAAAAATATTCTATTCTATATATTTTAAATGATAAACTGCCATCTATCAGAGTTCTAACTGGCCTTTCCCATAATATGATGTATGGGGCGATAATTTGTTAGTAATGTGAGTTAATTTCGTACCCATAGATTTCTTGCCCTTGACTAAGTGCCGGATATTCCTTATGCGTCCGGCGCCACTGAAGACCGAGCTCAGAGCCTGTTCAGACAGTTCACCGTAAGAACGCACCACGAGAGTCGTCTTGGTCGGTGGAAGTGGTCTCTTTACACGGATGAAATTGCCTTCAAATGACGTGTTGTCGTCTTCTAATGCCTGAAAGATGGGAAGTACAGTTTTTTTTTTATTGATAAGGATCTAGCATCACAAATACCTCATTTACCTATTCATTCATATTTGTATAGTAAGCAGGCTAACAAAGACTCTCCAATTAAGGACCCTTATGTATTAGTTGAGTGGGCAACAAAATCGTAAGGGTGCTCAGTCAATGACCAAGAAAACACACAATAATAAATAAACTTAATCAAATATAAATCTATTACAAAAAATCAAAATGCAGTTTTATTATATTAAGGCTATATTATTATAATAACAATAGTAAATTGTCCAGATTTACCTTTGATACTGCATCTTCACTATCAAAAAACACAGTTGTGGTGAAAACAGGTTTAGGGTCTTCGGTGGGATACACTTCCACTATGCTGAAAATAAAATAAAAACATTTATTAGAAGCACTATAGTAGACATGACATATATTAGGTCTAAATACAGCTGTGTGCAGACTTTTCTTTGTTGTTTCATAATTTGTACTGCCTAACAAGTGATTGCATAATATCACATCTATACAAATAAATTGTAGTGTCTGTTTGCAATGTCAAATAACAGCTTTTTACTAAATGCATATGAAAGTATATACGGTACTTATAACAAAAACACAATTTTAAAAATGTTTTTTTGTATGTTTGTTCCGGCTAATCTCCGAAACGGCTGGACCGATTTTAACGGGACTTTCACTGGCAGATAGCTAATGTTATAAGGAGTAACTTAGGTTACTTTTATTTTAGAAAAAGAATAAGGGGTCTGCACAAAATAAAAAACTAAAAGTCATAAAATCCAATTGTAATAAATTCGCATGGACAGCTAGTCATACATATAAAGATTGCCATAAGGTAATTAAGTCTGCCCTTTGTAGCCTGTAGTTGAAAGTGCAAGTATCTTAACTACAAAAGATAAAAAAATAAATATAATGGTTTGTTTACCTAGCATGAGTTTACCTCAACTCAAATATATTTATCTTATCATACTGTTAGTTGCTAATGACTAAATAAACATGGGGGAGTACAATAAAATCTTTGTGTTGATGAAAGATTTTTATTAATACGCTCGATAGAGAAAGCAGTAAAAGTGATGTTGGCAGACATTTTGGATTCAGTCTATCTATTGTGTCTATAATTTCAAAGAAAAGGAAGAAGATGACAGTCTGGCCATGGTATCCTCACTTCACTAGCAAGCAGCTAATGAATATAGCTGAGATGATTCTGTGCCAATACCAAGTGTTAAAAAAGCACTGAAAGCAGAAAATTTTTTGAAATTAAATTATGATGATCCCATGATATCTCACCATATAAATAAAATACAGAAAAAAAAACAATATTAGATTAACTACAATAATGGTGTCATTTTTTAAATGATTGAGTTTAGAAATTAAGGTTTAAGTTATAAAAATGTAACTTTAGTGGTAAAATTATACCTACTTTTTTTTTTTTTTTTAGGATAGGGATACTTTATTCATACTTATAAAATTATGTTGCTTTTCTATTTTCTATTTAAAAAAAACTCTCCATAAAGCAATAAAATACTCTAGTCTCTTGTATTTCGCTCTAGACTTTTCACTGTACTCATATATAGTAAAATATAGTAGTACAGATTGTTTTTGATGTTCCAATTCATGCAAAAATTAGGCCACATACTACTACTGGGTTTGTTTCGATCCAATTCAAAAAAGAAGAGGTATAAATTCCACTTTCTTTTGTAACATTTACAATAAAGTATGGAATATTTTTTTTATAGGATAGGGTGACAAACGAGCACACAGTCCACCTGATGGTAAGTGGTTGCTGTGGCCCATAGACATCTACATTTATCCTCGTTTGTGAATCAAAATGCAGATGCGATGTCACCCATGAAGGCTAAGATGGAATGCCTCTTATCCAGTAAAAAGGGTCTCCAGTTCTCTACACTCATCATACGAAACACAGCAGTGTTAAGCTGCTATTTGACACTGGTATTCTGTGAGAGCGTGGTCCTTCCCCGGTCGTGTTACAGCTATACTACTAATATAGCTGCATCATGGCTCTACCATGTGCAGCAACGTATTACACTCTATTGATCCACTCCGGCTTCGCAAAGGTTATTTCTGGATCTCGGCAACAGCATTGTGTTCAATTGTGAATCTACACTATTAAATACACACTCAAACATATACAAAAAAATTCATCACAATCAGTCAAGCCTGTTTCGAGTTTTGAATGGACAGCAATTAATTTTTTATATATAGAGATAAAACATACATACCCAACTTTCTTTACTACTCCACACTTAGAAAAATGTTCAGTCAATAATTTCTTATAACTCAGCATCACATTTAAAGGAAGATTTTCAACTATTACTGAACATAGGACTTGGTCTACATTTAACACTCCCTTCTTGTCCTTATTCCATTTACGCTTCCTCCATTTTTCTTTCTCCTTAATTTCTACACTATTCTCAAAACTGTTGTCATTGTTTGATGTGTTTTCTAATTTTGCATGTTTTCCTTTTTTTTGTTTTCCTGTGTTTTTCTTTTTCTTTTTATCTACTACCATCATTTCATCAAGAAGATTTGTCAATGTATGAGTATTATCTCCTATGTTGAGATTTTCAAGATCTTCGGCTATTATTTCAGGTTTAACATCTTTTTTTCGTGACTTGGTAACAGGTTCACCCGCAGTTGGATCAGTAACTTGAGTGGCTTTAAGAGAATGTTTCTTTTTCTTGTTCTTTTTGCGAACATGTTCTTGTTCCTTTTGGCCGTCATCTTGAGCCACTGCAATCTTATTTTCATCCTCACTGTTTTCAGATTCCTTTTCCTTTGCATGTTTCTTAAATTTTTTGTTGGCCTTTTTCTTAACTAGGAACTTTGAAAGTTCAAGATCTGCATGTGTTTCTCCTGACTCTGAAATTTTACTATGCTTTTCTGAAAACTGTATGATTTCATCAGACGTTTTATCCAATTTGGGGTGACAAGCTTCATCTTTATTTTCTGTTTCACCTAGATTCCTTTTGTTAATTTTCTTAAGCTTATTTTTCTTATTCTTGTTTTTACTTTGAACTGTGTTATTGTTATCTACAGAATTATCAGATTTAATTTTCTTTACAGCAGTTTCTTCATTATCATCCAGTACAAAACTGACAGTTTTGTTTCTTTTCTTCGGTTTACTGTTAGAAACATCAGGTATATTCATAGAGTCATCTGAATTTTTTATTATTGGCCTTATTTCGCCTGGTTTTTTCTTGTTTTCACCATTATTTGGAGTGGATGTTATCAGAGAAATTTCATTAAACGATGACTTCCTCACATGTTCGCTTGGATCATTGGTAATATTTTGAGAAATATCCGATTTACTCTTAATTTTTTTCTTACTCTTATGAGAGAAATTTTCACAGTCTGATTTAATTTTCTTCACTTTCAATTTTTGCCCCAATTGATCATCATTTTCTAATAATTTAACATTTGTTTCTGCAGCACTTTTGTACAAATTTACAAAGTCAAATGTTTTATTATTTTCCACACTTTGTCCTTTTTTTAACAATTCAACTGACTTACTTTTCATAATTGTATATTTAGAAACTATTCAATAAATTGACTATGATAAAAATATAGTAGGTAAAATGTTTATCTTTTTGAAAACGCGACATGTGCGTGTTGTTAGCGTGACATTTATGATTTATTTTTTGGTTATGTACTCGTAGCCAAGGAAAAGATACATACTACTCTCTAGCTCGTAGCATACTGTACTTTTGCCAGTGTCAAGTATATTTTTTTTTATTTTTTTTATGGCCTGGTATCTAGACCTTTAGGCCAAGTCTTAAGTATTTTTATTCGGTTTATTGTAATTTCCCCACTCCTTCATAGTATACTGCTTCACAATATGTTGATGCGTCACATTGTGCAGTTCTTGGGAGATTTTGGCGGCAACTTGATCCAGCAGACAGCTGATAGTTGGCGATGGTATCTAAAGGTGCCTATGCAAACAAACAGCTTATCTTGAGAATCCATCACCATCAGAGCACTTGTTTCACTGTTTCCACTAATAGTTCACATGCGTAGACACTTAATACACAAAATCGCAACACTTTTACATATCAAAGTCCACTTCAAACCATTATTTAAACAATAATACAGGAGCAGCAAACCGCCGCCGGTCAATTTCCCGCCAAAACTCCCTGTCAAGTATATTAGGAAATTATTCGATAAGGCCGGCCACATACATTCGGAATTCCGTTTCGGTATTCCGTTTCGAAATTGTGTTTCGGTATTCCGTTTCAGAATTTCGATACGCGATTCCGAACACAGCAAGTCCATATAAAATCAAGTACCCGTCACACACGTACAGTATTTTTCCGTTCGAAATTTTGCTAGCAAAACGGAATTCCGATTATATGTGGCCGACCTTATATCATTATATGCTTCTTTAAAGATAAAAGATAAAGATATTTATTTTGCAAAACATGAGTAAAAATATAAAGGTGTTAAAAAACTGAAAACGAGCTACATGTTTTGCCATTTATGGCGTACAAAAATTATACTATATATTTTATTAATTATACAAGTTAAAAACTAACCCTACGAACCAAATTCTAGATATGCAACAATTTCAATGACATCACCGAAGATTACATTAGAGAAATGTCACAATTCAATATTTATCTTAAAAAAATGAATCATTTAAAAAATCAGGCAAGCTGTAATAACATTTGGCTATCAGATATTTTTTAAGATCTAGCTTAAAAAGTTTAGTAGGCAATTGTTTAATGGTTTTGGGGATTTTATTATATATTAATGGCGCCAGACAGAAAATACTTTTATGCTTCAATGCCGTTCTTGATCTAATTGCGCATAACCTGTTAATATCCCGGCAATGGCGAATTGTAACGTCTAATAGTTTGTTAAAAAATTTAGGGTTACTTTGAACGAAGTTTGCTATTTCATAAATAAATAAGGAGGGCAAGCTTAAAATTTTGTACTCAATAAAATATGGTCTGCAGCTATCAGTAATTTTAAGACCAAACATAGCCCTGATGCACCTTTTTTGGGACTTAAATATGATTTCCTTATTATTAGAATTTCCCCAGAATATGATGCCAAACCGCAAGATGGAATCAACAATACCGTGGTAAGCCGTGAGTAGCGTATCGGTATTTACGACGGATGCGAGTTTATAGAGCGCATAAGCAGAAGAACTACTTCTCTTGTTAAGATTCTCTTATTTAGATTTCTTTACATTATAAGTTAAAATTATAAGTTAAAAGTGTCACATTGTCAAGTATTTGGGAAATTTTAATGACAGTTTAAGCCACATAATAGATTTTTATTGGACCTTTGTAAAGGTATTGTAGCACGCATATCTCCTTGATCTATTATTACTCGGACTGGTAGTGGTAGGTCCATTCGTGTGCCGAGTCTATATATCGATAACGTCATATAAAGTACGCTCTAGAGGGCGCTGTAGGTGGAGACAGCAATTCGCGACGAATTGTTAACTCCCATAGATACACTCTAGTCTCTATGGGAGTTAACAACCAAGTTATTCAAACTTAATTAAGTTATTTCAAATTAAATACACCACTGACACAGCCACGGCATTGTCAGCTTACTATGCCTATGATCATTCGTGGCTTAAGTACGGAGTTATGTTGTGGGGAAGTAGCGTCAATGTGCAGCAGCTTTTTATTACCCAGAAGAAGTGCGTTAGAATACTAGCCCAGATAGATAACACTACTAGCTGTAGACCGTATTTCAAACAACTAAATATTCTTACCTTACCCTGTATGTACATTTATGATCTATGCCTGTTTGTCTACAAAAATAATAATATTTTTAAGAAGATTAAAGATACACATAACATAAATACACGTAACAAAAATAAATTATACCTACCACAGTCGCGAACAAAAATGTTATGGCTCCAGTACACGTTGGCCGAGCGCGCTCGCCGAGTGCGCTCGGCCAACGTGTACTGGGCCGTTTTGTATATATTTGGCGTTTGCGGCCAACGCTCGCCGACGAGCCGTATAGTGTCGGTTTTCCGTGCACAAATCAAAGGAATTTGGCGCAAGCCGCAAACAGTGTTCACACGTTGGCCGAGTGTTCAGTTCATAGTTACGCGTCGGAGTAGACTGTAGTGGCGGCTTAATAAAATTGTTTCAACATGGCGACATGGACTAATGAGGAAATATTAATTTATTTATTTAACAGTTTATGTACACACATAATTTGATAGGAAAATGGTAAAAACATAATTATGTACAAAGGCACTGCCTATTTCTTGATGAAATTTCTTCCAGCAGGCCTATTGAAGGATAGTTGAAGGAAAAAGAGGTAGTCAAAGTGTGCACTTACATAAATATACATATACAATACAAATATATACATATACATATACACACACACATACATATATATATATATATATATATATATATATATATATATATACGCATGTATATATATAAATAAATATTATATATTATGAAAAAATATATAATTCAATATAATATATTTTTAATGTTACTTATATGCATACCAACACATTACGATTTAATAATTATGGAGTGAAATATTGATTCATTGTTCATTGATTGATCCTCACAATGAATCAGTTATATGAAACCCCAAACATGAGCAACATAAAAATAAAACCAGAGTAACTTGCCTAACTGCATTAAATAATACATGTTTAGTTGCGATTTCAGAGTACCTACCTAATGATAAATATTATTATAAATTATCTCTGCGTTTATGTTGCTCAGGGATAATGTAGGTTAGGGGCTTCTTTTGGGCTATCTTTTATTTTGAAAAAACCCCCAGCGAAGCGGGCACGGGTCAGCTAGTAGATCCTATAAAGGTTTATTTTTTCCTTTTGAGGTCGGAACCCTAAAAAGGACAAACTGGGATTATTGTTGTATGTGTAGTTTAGTTTTCGTTCACTCTGAGAAGTGTGAAGCGCTGTATAAGTATATGACAGTGACCGCGATTGCCCTAACGTCCATCATCATCTAGCTACCAACGCAGAATGAAACACGCCAACGTGTGAACGGCACCACGAAAATCTGCCGAGCGCACTCGCCAAGCGCGCTTGGCCAACGTGTACTGGAGCCATTAAATACAAGCTCCTACTAGATGGCAATAAAAGTATATAATAAATTACCACAGGAAATAAAACAATATATCAGAATTAACCAAATTTAAATCAAGACTCGGTAAATATTTAAAACAAAACCCCTTCTACACAGTAGAAGAGTATTTAGATAAAAAATAACACTATTATATATTTTTATATTTTTTATAGCTTTTAATTATATTTTATTTATGTTAATAGTATATAAGCAGTTCCCTTGTCAAATTTGCAGTGCCTGAAAAGGGCATCTAAGTTGTAAGCACATTTTTAATTTAAGACCAATTATGTAGGTACACTTAGATTGAAAATAAATGATTTGATTTGATGATGATTATTCTGAGGGGTTATTATCAAGCATGTATTCATTTATATTATAATGACCCTTTTTATACAGTTTTTGTTTAAGGCGCATGGTTGAGCAAAATGTCGCGCTAGTCGTTATTTGTGCAGTTTTTAGGAGCTATCTACTTTTTATTAAAAAGATATATCAACTAATAAAAAACACATTGTATTTCTACATAATCTTGATTCCATAAGAGTCATATCCAACTTTTTTTTAAAGGAATTAATATTAAAATAATCTCCTTACAACGAAACCACATAAATGTGAAATAATTATTGATAACGTGCATCTCCTCGTAAAGTAAGCATTATTTTATTTTGCGATTGACACTAATGAATAGGCAATTTATTAATGAACATTTCTATCATTTTTTTTTCAAAAGACCAAAGTTTGATTTTATTAAGATATTATTTTAAAAACTAGGCGTATTCACTGCTCACGGGGTTGCTGGAGTCAGTAAGCGCTAAGCTCTTGAAGGTGAAACCCGTGTCGTTAGTCACGGCGTCGGCTTGCGCACATGCTTGCTGACGTCATCTTAACAGTTGATAATATTATTATTACTGATTTGGTTATTTATAGGTAGTATTATTTGTTTGTTTTGGGTATAATTTTTCGTATACAGAAACAGAAACAGAAACTTTTTTATTCAATATAGATTATAAATAATACTTATTGAAAGTCACTCTTTTGTTTGATTACCACTGGTTCGGAAAAAACCTCTGTCCTGGGAAGAATCAGCAAGAAACCCAGCGGGACTTTTTTTAAAAAAATAACAGCTTACAATCATGATGTTACACAAATTAACAACACAACAAATTAGAAATAGCTTAGTAGCGATCACCTCATTTCCAGGGGTTATTATCATCCATAAATTCCTTAATATTATAATAACCCTTTTTATACAAACTTACTTTAATAAAGTTTTTGAACTTTGAGCAGGTCAAACTTTGTATATTTTCTGGAATTTTGTTGTAAAAGCGTATACATCGCCCCAAGAATGGATTACTGACTTGATGGAGTCGAGTAACTGGTACTTGCTTGCTTGCTGGAGCTTGTGTCTGTTCCTAGTATTTACAGAATGAATATCACT